TGTTGTTGATATCGAATAAACAACAACCTCTCTGACTCCACCATGGTATATGCATCAACAAAAAACTGTTGAAGCAAGTTTTTCGAAAGCAACATGGTTGATTTCTCATTTGCTCTCTCCTGAATCCTATAAACAAAAAATTCCCTCATGCTCAATTTCGTCCTCTTCATACCTTCTCCAGTACATTTCAGCGAAATGTCAACTCTAAATCCATCCTCTCCATAAGGAAATATGAGAGGGTACTGTAAGGCAAGATGAAAAGGATGTAACTCATTGATGCGTTGTAGTTTTCCACTCTTGAGTTCGAGTATGATATCCCTATTTTCCATACCCCTCTCGAGATCACCGACAACTAATGCTGCAATTTCATTAACATCGGGTAGGTTATAAGTTCTTCCATCATTATTTCTTTTGCCAATCAATTTCAACCTGAAACCTTGTTCATCATTGGGAAGATATCAATATCGATCCCTTGCCATCCTAAAACACTTGACAAGTCTGTTGTTGTCATCCAGAACCTTTTTTAGATCATTGGTGCTTGCCGAGTTCACCAAAAAAAAGATAAATATTACTAGCTTGGATTATGAGTTTTGTAGATAATGGAAGCTAGGTCGATCCCACGAGGACAGCTAATTACCAAATTTGTTGTAAAGAAAAACTGTCAGTCAACAAGGTGTCACTCAGGAGAATGAAAAAGTCACTCAGGGGAATGGGGGCCAGGGGTGTTCTTCTCCTCTTCCTGCTGTTGTAGTTGTTTTATTAGCACAGTAATGGTTGAGTTCTTGTTCATTTAGCTCACTTATAACTCTAAGTCAGTTCCCATTTTTCCTAGAGTCATCTTTGCAACCTTAACAACCTATTTTCCAATGATTGATTCCAGCTACAAAGTCATTAAGTTCTTAGGCCTTCAAGAATGCTTATGTTAACTAAGTATATTCCTATCTTAGTTAAAACCATAGACTGTTACCTCTATGTCATAAGTTAAAGTTGAAACAATCCAAACCAAGTTTATCCTTCCTGATCTCCCTTAGTTCTAGCATGCATCCAATTTAGTGATCAAGTAAATGAATGTAGAAAAACTTTCAACCATAAAACAAGGAACAAAACCAGTGCTTTACAACTACAACATCAGTTGAGGAGAATAACCCCTGGGAGCTGTTTAGCTACTCATATAGATTAATGCTACATCTACTATATCGAAAGACATCATAGAAGTATGCATAGTAAACAGAATTCAAGCTAACAGTCAAAAGATGAGGAGAAAGCTTGTGCAGTTTCTGAGTCACTCGTGGGAGTGAAGGGGTTCACTCGTGGAACTGAAGAAGAAACTGGGTTGCTATTCTTCAACTTAGCTTCCTCACTGAGTCGTTGCTGCTTCTTCTTCTTTCTTGTCTTCTACCTGGAGTTTTTCTGAGTGTTTTTGCAACTGAAAAGCTAACCAGAGACTGAGAGAGCCTTTCATTGAGAGTGCAGTTCCCTCTCTTATAGGGCTTTGCAGCCGGTGTCTTCATCATGAGAATCTCCCCATGCTTGGAGTTGTTTAATCCTCCCAATGTCTTGAGCCTGCAATCCAACTTGGCCATTTCTTTTCTCTCTTCCAGCAGCAGCCGTTTTGCTCTCATTGATCAGTAGCGGTGGCTGGGATTGCGGCTGGGGGACAGGCATGCCTTTAGGAGGAGGCAAGGCCATTAATGACAAGATGCTTCTTGTCTAAGGCCCTTCTTCTTCGTCCAGCTCAGCACCCTTGCCTCAGCAGTCCATAAATTGCTCCTTTGGCTTCCAATTTTCAGCAATTATTCAGTCCGGTCCTTTCCTAACAATAACATGAAAATGAGCTAAGTAAATTGCACCAATGTCAAGAAATATCCCCAATTGTTCATCAAATACAAAGTTAAGTGTGATGCTTTTATGTAACAATTTAACCATTATCAATCATTCACTATTTCCCTGTCAAATGTGGACTCTGTACCATCTGATAAAGTGCTTGTTGTACTTGTACATATCACCAAAGGAAAGAAATAAATTATAAATTATTCAGTAAATGACTTGTTACCTGAAATATATCAAATGACATGATGATCATAGTTGAAAATAAATAATTCAAAAATAAGAGAATATCATACCTCATTTCATTCACTCTATTCGCAATCTCATTGTCTGTATCATAAATATATAGTTTGCAAAATTGTGGTGACTGTCCATGATTTGGAAGTAGACTCCCAATTCGATGGTAATTTTGGCCATGAATTCTGAACACCCGACGTCCACGTCCTCTGTTAATTGATTTGTCAACTTCCCCCCCCCCACAGAAGTAAATGAAAACATCATATTGTATGCTCTCATATTCTTTTGAAAGTGCCTACTCTTAGCATCTCATTTTGTCATCAAATCCATTAACAGAGAGGGAGGTTTCTTTAGTAAAGGCAACTGGACTTTACCATGCATACAACACAATGAGAAAGAATGATCAGAATTTCTTGGATCAGTTCCTACTTTTTCTCTTGCACCACATGATTGACAACAGTAAGTTGGATCACCGATATCAGCATATTCTGTGAAATTATACATTACATTTTTTTAGAAAACTTCAGAAACTAACAACCCTATTAATAATAAACACGCGCAACTATGAAAATATGAATCATTAAAAATATAAAAAAACAAAATAAAGTCACCTTCAGAAATGGCTCGCTGATTGTCATCTTGCTCATCATTGTGGTCTTCAGAATCTACATTGACGGTAATCGAAGAAATGTTACTGTAATGCTTTGGCCGGATTTTGTGTTTTCCAGATCTCAACTTATTTGTCATTTCCATGAAACTAAATATTGAATCCTCCCCATTTGAAGAATTGGGTGAAACCGACGATGAAGGTATATGAAAACAACGCTGTCACGTTACATGGGAACCACCACTACCACATAATTCTGCTCCGTTCTCTACACCATTGGTAATAATAGACTGCGTACGTAACGTTGAAACTCCCGATAAACACTGAGGTGTGGAAGAGATACCTGAAAAAGTTTGTGTCTAACCATAAGGTCTCTCCTCGTTGGTAAATTATACAGCATATCATATTAGTACTATAATGTAACATTTATTGCAAAAATTTCTATACCTGATGGATGATATTGTAACCCATTATGCGATGGATTCTCACTTAGTCCATGCACTTGTTCACATTCTTGATTGGTCACAGTTGAGTTGGACGACGGTGCACTCGAAATCATTTGTGATATGTTAAGTGGAGGATATATCCCTAACACATATTTGCCTGCACTTAGAGTACCACATCCTGGAAGTGCAGAAGATACCTTGGAGATTCAATTGGACATCTACATATTACATACTACAGGGGATTTAATTAAAAATTATAGGATGTGCTTAAAATGCGTTATACCATAATCAATATAACTAGAACAAAGAGAAAATAATTTACAAAATTTAAAACCTACCATTGGATATTTCTCGAAGAGGAGATCTATGTTCGAGTGAAACAACATTGGGACTAAAACCACTCAACCTCTTGAATGATGAAATAACCAAGGAATGGAGACGATTTCTGTTTTCAGGTACACAGAAAGATGAACCCATTTCAACGTGGTGCATATGAACCGGATGATTTTCCGAACCAAATTTGCTTATATGTGATAAATCTGTTGTCGGAATTTTGGTCCTTTTATCTAAGTACAATTTTTGCTTTTTCCTGGCCTGTGAAGATGGAGTGGAAAACATGTCTTATATGAATAAGACAGTTTAGTAGTGACCAAAAATCTTGAATCAAATATGAAAGGTGCTTAGAACGGTTAAACTGGAACTTCAATTTTCATAAGTATGATGAAAACTGAATATGAACTTGACAAACACAATTTTCAAATGGTGTTTGTTAGACAACGTAGAAACATGCGGCCTATATTGAGTATGTACTGCATGAACCATGAAACCTAGATGTCGATGAAAAAACACATCATAATCTTCATATCACATGACGTGAGAAAGAGAATAAATATTAAAGTGAACAAATAATCATACATAAATTATGCGTGTGTGCTGTTATTGATTCCATAAATTTTAAATTCATTTCGACAAAATCAATGTAGTTGTGCTTTTAAAATCAGCATAATTATTAATTGTTTATGTGAAAAAAATAAACGCACCTAAATCATGTAGTATCAGTTATTGGTTCCTGAAATTTGCAAACCATTTCGAAAAAATGAAAATAGCTGTCTTTTTTTTGAAGGCATCCATACAATACGATTTTTATTCGAGTTCCCAATGCCACTCGATTTTTTATATATGATCTCCAATATTGATATCGAAAAATTCAAATAACATTTAATGCAAAACTTTCTCACCACTTTATTTGCGCGACCGTAGAATTAATGGTTTTCACATTTCATATGATTAATCATAAAACTTGTCATTGGATTGAGCTCATTCATTACAATATTAGGAACTTATCCTACACTATTGCTGTAAAAAGGACATATGTTACACGTAACAGAAGAGGATAGCATATTCTGAAAGTTGCTCAAAAACTGGCGGTAGTTCGTCATTATGATTAGTGTAATACTCCATGACAAAGTACATGAAACAATGCATAGAGTAATCATCATACATTACGAAATGAAAATGATACATTATGAAGGTATAATAAAATACTGAAAGTACAAAAGAACGCGAAACTAAACTTGGTGGCACACTAATGACAAAAGATCAGGCTAATGCAAAAAACCACTGTGCCTAGGTCACAGAATTCATAATAGCAAAAGGATCACAAAAGATTAGCCCAATATGAGTTCCATAACTCAAATATGCACTAGGCTACGCCAGAAAAATCCAGCAGCAACATCGTCCAGTGCTAGTATAATTCCCGGTTTCACGTGCAAATTAAAATTGCCGTTGAGAGGGTTGTAAATGTAATACATATACCGATCTGGCCCAGAAACAATGAACTCTCCATCGCTTGATGACTTTGGACAAACAAATACAGGACGATTTCAATGTCCTGAGAAAGGCCCGCGCAAGGGTACAGGCAATGTCGGACCCGTAAAATGCAGCATCATACTATGTAGGTTACGCCAATGATAGCGCAAGTTCCTGTCACCATCATTTGTCCATTCCCACATTTGAAACAATCCAGTCAAACATATAAATTCTTCATCAACAACGCACAGTTTCCCCTGCAAATTCAATAGCTTAGTGTTATTGTGGAAACCATAAGGATACGTCTTCCAATGTTCATCGTTCGGAGCTTGGATAATGTTGAATGTTTGTGATGAACAGCTGAAAGTTATTAGGAGTTCCCTTCTGCTAATCTGATCAATTGGCCAATGGATGACTTTGTTTATGCACCAATACACCGTGTCGCCAACAAATAGGCCACTAGGCATAATAACACGAGGACATAAGGAATTGATAAGTTGCCAGGACTCAAAAACAACCCCATTGAGGGATTGATATGGCATCCATGACAAATACTTGGCATGCATTCTTCCATTTGGTAGTTGCCCTAAAGCAATAATGCAGTATATGCCCATAGATTCAATGAAATCAAAAGTGGCATTCCAATAATGGTTCACAAATGATGGACAAAATGGTCCAGCAATCATGCGTTGCTGTCCGGTCTGAGGATTCAAAATGACGAGTTGAGAATGCAACTTCATTCACACCAAATTGCAGGTAATTGGAAGCACCTTCTGCACAAACCACTGGTGTACAGAAAGGAGATTCGACTTACAACAGATATCAGCAGTGTCATCAACTGCGTTGGCACCGACAAACTTCATTCTCTGTGGAAAATAAGAGGTGTACATATTTTGCTGACTTATAAACAACAGGGACGATGGACCATTTAAAACTCTCAACTTACAAAAACGATCACAAAAACCAATGTTTGACCATATAGCTTTCCAGAACCTCGCAACGCAATGTGCTCTTCCAACAGTAGGTAGATCTACCCTCATCATAATGTCTTCCATCAGGTCATTTGGGAGGTTAGTCAGGAAATCAACACACTGATAGTGATGAGCTGGGTTTGCCATGGGAAAAGTTAAAACGATTGGAAAAAGAGACTGGATGAATACATTCAAAGGAGGAGATCGTAGATGTGGATTTGGCTGGTAGATAAAGAAGATAATATAGTATAGTTCAACGTTTGGAAATTGGTAAAAATAAAAAAATATGGATTGTGTATTTGAGATGTTATAAATGAAGCAAACTGGAGTGCCAATTTATAGCAGAATGGAGAAAGGGATTATGTAAGAGTTGCAAGTCCAAACTGAGTGGAGATCGTTGATGCAAATGGTATCAGTTTGGAATCATCTACATGAAAATATTATGGCGGCAAGTAACAATTCTTTAATTTTCCAGCCCGTGGCTAATGTTTTCGGAACTCAGCTCTGTATCAGGCAGACTATCTAACTGATGAACACGCACATAGCTGGTAGGCTATGATGACCACTATAGAACCCTACACAACATAAAAAGAGGGATCAAAATATTCTTATAACGTACTCCGAGTCGTGCGATTTCCAACAACATGCACAATGATGACTTCTGTGCGATGGAACCAAAGCTCTTTGGTGTTAAGAAATTTCATCAATCACCTTCACATCCGAATTATATAAACTATTAGGTCTTATGGAACATGACTTCAAAATGGAAGTAAATGATAAACTGAGGCAGCTTGAATAACACAACAAAATGTAAACGAGAAATGTGTTCAGAGAATATAGATGTCCTCTCAAAGATGTCCCTATGACACATGTTCATATGAAATTTGAGATATATATATATATATATATATGTTTTTTTGGTTGAAGTGGTGTTGATGTATTAGAAAGAATCATGTTTTGTTTCTTGTGTATAAAAACCTAATCAAATTTATAAATTTTTGTTTTAAAATTTTCCATAAAAATACACATCATATAAATAAATTTGAACCACATAACGTTATAACTTCTAGTAGCCAAAAAAATGTCAAATATTAATGAAATGGTTATTTATCAAATGGTTCTAAATATTTTTTTAAACAATAAGCTATATTTCTAAAATTTTAAGTGTACCTGTCTCTTGATTTTTTTTCGCACCCCCTAACATAAAATCTTGTCTCCCCCACTGGATATTGGTCATTGTTTGCATGAAGCATGCATGAGGTTCGATTCGTCATTGATATTTTGTCCAATTATTTTGCAGAAACAAATTGTTTCACACACAGGCTTTATAAAAGAAAATTCAAAGAGAAGATACAATTACAGGCCTTTCCATAGGGCTAATTTTATTTTGCAATGGGGTTTATATTTGACCCAATCATTTTGGAAATCCTGTATTTTGGTTGACGTTTTGTTTGAGCGTGATTCCAAACGGAAGATACAATTTGCGGTATTTTCGTCCCATTAATTTTTTATGTGATAACCCTGATTTATATTATAAAGTGGTATTGAAAGTACAAATTACGACATAATACACGATTTAAACATTGTACTTTTTGTAATATGCAATAGTATGCAAAAATTAAACAAAATACACAACATTATAGAAAGTCATACAGAAATTAGTGCCAAATTTATAATTTGTCATAGTTCATTTCCACTTGGGAAACAAAATTTGTGGAAATGAACCTACATTTAAAAGAAGTCCAATCTTCTTTCAAAACTGAAATTTAAAGTGCATATTACAATCATCAAACAACTTTCAGTCAACTACCACATATGCAGAGAATTAAGCCTGGTCATCACAGCCTGAAAAAAATTGAACGTAAAGAAATTAAATAATAAATTACACAATTTTAGACATAATTACCTTTCAAAGTAATAAAAGCATTTATTTTAGATAATTAACAATAAAGATAATCTAACGTATTAACTTACTCGAACACAAATCAGTGGCACAATCAGGGCTATGTATATCGGATCCATGCTCATCAAAAATATCAAGCAGGAAGAAAGTTTTGTGCACATAGGTGAGCAAACAGGTGTGCCTCCTATTAAGCTTTTGAAAACTAATGAAATTCCGCCAGTGGAAGCCACAAAACCCAGTGCCAATCAAATCGGGGTGCCATCGAAATTCATAATTGCTTCCTCCAAATTGAACAGAAACAAATTTTGTTTTCACCATGATAATTGATTGCAAGAAATCAGCAGGAACCACCTAAAACATAAAATTTTTGTACATTATCCAATTCAACTGTAAATGACTGATGACATTGATTAGATAATTAAGAAGTAACATAACAAATCTGATATATTTCGACAATTTCAATTTATAACACTTACAGTGAAACATTCATAGCCATCTTCATTCACTTTAAAAATGCATCGCATAAAAAATGGAGTGAAGGGCCTTGGTAGAACAGTTTGACAACCATCTAAGCCAAAATTTGTGCATTTCATGGTATCATTTCCTATATACTGAAAAAAAAACACGGCTTCTCCAAGTGATACCAATTTCCCTAGCACATCGCAACAAATTTCTTCCCGACAAATTTATCTCTCCGTTATGATATTGTGCCATTAGTACCTCGTACATTCCAATAGGAGTTTCAAGTTTGATTCTTTTTGGAACGTATCCACCAAAACATTGACTCAACCGACTTGTCAGGGCCTAAACCGTAAAGAAAAAATGGCATCAAGAGGCAAAATCTATAGAACAAATAAGACAAAATATTAATTGAACCAGAAATAAAAATTCCTTACAAAACCGAATATTTTGAAGTCTCGTGGAACAATGTACATGAACTGGAAATGGTCATCCATGATTTATAGATCATGTTAAAGGCAAAAGAAATTTTAAAATTTAAATTTTGATTCAAAGTGGCTAGTAGTCAAAAGGGGTGATTTTAAAAGAAATAACCGTCATAGATCAAGCAATCAACAAAAAAATAAAAAACCTTCATACATCATATATTCAAACACATGCATAAATGATAAGGTAAACAAAAAAACCTACCTTTTTTTTTCACAACGGGAACAACCAGATTGGATAGAAAAGACTTGCAGAAGAAAAACACAAGGAGGAATGTCCCCGGATAATTAGAGGGCAAAGTTAGAGGAGAAAACGAAGTAAAAAATAAAGATGAAAGAATCTGTACAAAAGATTCGAGGGAAGTAATTATAATACCATTGAAATTTATGGAATCAAAAAATGCTTTAAAGTTGATGTGATGTTCAGTATTAGTTTTTTTTTATATTTTTTTTCAGGAGAATCCAGAGCGGTACCTGGCGGGAGGACCCCGATTTTATTGATTTTAAAAAGAAAGTACACAAGGCAGTGCTTAAGACTTACCCAAAAGAAAAGAAATAGTTCAGTATTAGTTGTATAGAAGAAAATCAATAGAAAAAATCTCTTTGTTTTTATCTAGGAAAACATGAAGCCTCTTAATTGGTTAGTTTATTTTACGAAAAAGATTTATTCCGATATAAGGAATCTTGTATTCGTTTATTCTTTTCTCTACTAAAACATGCATTTTTTTTCAACTTGTGTACTCATACTATTCTTGGAAGTTGGAAGATGCTCACCATGTACCATATTTCATAATAAATCATTATTCCGCCTAAGTAAAGGTAAAACAACAAAAACGCGTAATTTTTCTGAATTAAAGAGGTGAAAGTACTTCAGAATGAAACATATATATATATATATATATAGTAAACTTCCTTAATTAAAGGAAGGTTAAACTTCTCGTGGATTTCATTTAAGTGATAAGTGGTGCGTGCCGAGTTCACCAAAAATATTACTAGCTTGGATTATGATTTTTGTAGATAATGGAAGCTAGGTCGATCCCACGAGGACAGCTAATTACCAAATTTGTTGTAAAAACAAAAACTACCAGTCAGACAAGGTGTCACTCAGGGGAATGGAAACAGTCACTCAGAGGAATGAAAGCCAGGGGTGTTCTTCTCCTCTTCCTACTGTTGTAGTTGTTTTATTAGCACTGTAATGGTTGAGTTCTTGTTCATTCAGCTCATTTATAACTCTAAGTCAGTTCCCATTTTTCCTAGAGTCATCTTTGCAACCTTAACAATCTATTTTCCAATGATTGATTCCAGATACAAAGTCATTAAGTTCTTAGGCCTTCAAGAATGCTTATGTTAACTAAGTATATTCCTATCTTAGTTAAAACCATAGACTGTTACCTCTATGTCATAAGTTAAAGTTAAAACAATCCAAACCAAGTTTATCTTTCCAGATCTCCCTTAGTTCTAGCATGCATTCAATTTAGTGATCAAGTAAATGAATGTAGAAAAACTTTCAACTTCAAAACAAGGAACAAAACCAGTGCATTAAACAACTATAACATAGGTTGAGGAGAATAACCCCTGGAAACTGTTTAGCTACTCATACAGATTAATGCTACATCTACTACATCAACAGACATCATAGAAGTATGCACAATAAACAAAGTTCAAGCTAACAGTCAAGAGACGAGAAAAAAGGTTGTGCAGTTTCTGAGCCACTCCTGGGAGTGAAAGGGTTCACTCATGGAACTGAATCAGAAACTGGGATGGCTACTCTCCACTTGGCTTCCTTACTGAGTTGCTGTTGTTTCTTCTTCCTTCTTGCCTTCTACCTGGAGTTTTTTTGTGTGTTTTTGTGGCAACTGAAAGGGTAACCAAAAAGATTCCTCCTTCTGAGAGTGCAGTTCCCTCTTTTTTAGGGCCTTGCAGCCGGTTCCTTCATCATGAGGGCCTCCCCATGCTTGTAATTGTTTAATCCTCCCAATGCCTTGAGCCTGGAATCCAAACTTGGCCGTTCTTCTTCTCTTCTTCCAGAAGTGGCAGCATTGCTCTCATTGATCAGTAGGGGAGGCTGAAATTTCGGCTGGGGGACAAGCATGCCTCTTGGAGGAGGCATGCTCATTAATGGCAAGATGCTTCTTGTCTAAGGAGGTGCTTCCTCGTCCAGCTCAGCAGCATTGCCTCATCAGCCCACAATTTATTCCCTTGGCCTTAACTTTTCAGCAATTTTGCAGTCAAACCCCTTCCTAACAAAAACATGAAAACTAGTTAAGTAGAAAGCACTAATAATAGAAAATATCCCCCAA